GGGGGGAGGGTAAGGATACTTCCAAAATGTTTGAAGGAGGGGTTTGCGGTCTGCTTCTTCAAAGTTTTAATTAATTCAGAAAAATGTGATTTACCACATCCTTTTCTCAAGAACTGACCCACTTATTGACATTTTCAGTCTGCTAACATTCTTATTCAGGTGTCTTCCCCGTTCTTATTTAGTAACCATCCATGAATTTCTATAGGTAAACATTTGAGAAGGGCAAATTTAACGGCGTTGATTAGTAATATTAGCTCTTCTTTCAGTCTAACAGAACACCTAAACTTAGACAAGACTGCGCAAATTAAATTTTATCTTAAAATCTATACTCTAGTCCATATTACCAGCACAGCTAAAATTTATACCATTAAGGATTTTCACCCTGTCCTTCCTCTGGTCTGTGTCGCCACCTAAGTCCATCATCAGAGCCAGCTTTGGTGTAGGCTATTCTATGTAAGACGAAGTCAGTTTTCCACAATTACATTTCAACGATACTTGGAAGCTTCATCGTTTCTTATGACATTATATGAGGTAGGAAAAAAACATTCATTTTCTTAAATGCATGAACTGACGCTTGGAATTAAATTGAAAATTTTACAAACTTAAGAGAAAAGAAGACTTACTCCAACACCAAATTTATGTACAAAAGGAATTCTTGCGCGCTTGAAAAGACCAGAGCTAGCTACTGACTATGTGCATGATAGGGCTGTTACGACGACAAATAAATGGAATATTTTTTTTAACAACAATCATGAGAATGTATTATGACATCACAGGATTGCTCGTACTCAAAACCTTTCTCACGCGAACGGTGAATGTCTGAAAAAACCCAAACACTAGGCTGGGTTCATACTTATTTGTACCATGCCATTCAAAATACAGCCAATCAGAATACAGGAAAACCGTTGTGTAGTCGATGGCATAAAAACCCAACCTTCCCAAAGAGCGCCACGCGTTTGTCGCAGTGGTTATGTTGGCCACCGGCATGGTATAAAATAGTTATGCATCGTTCTCTCGTGGTATACCATGCGGGAATATCCCACTTGCTACTTGCATTTCCCTGGTATACACACGAGCCTTTAGGCGAGTGTGTTTACCGAGAAAGTGACTCGTGGGATGTTCCATGGTATACCACGCGCGAGTGTTGGGTAACTAGTATTTATTCTGATCAGGTCAGCTACCATACCCACATCAAAACGAACTGGCTGTGAAACACTTAGAAAAAGATGGAAAAGGAAAGAAAAAAAAAAACTAGAGACTCAAGTAAAGCTGCAAATGCAGTTTTATTGCCATTCTACCAGCAGCGCTTGAATGAAAAGTTACCACTAGCGTCTACTACTTCATTTCTTTCCCTCGTGAAGTTGATGGAAAGTGGACCTTTGGACTGAAACTAAAAAAAATTAATTAACTTTCAAATATCTATCAACAGAAAATGTTCGACGTAAATTCAGTGTAACGTAAAATATGCCACTTAATATCTACAAATTAATTAAAGTTTATCGGAAACTAATCAAGTAAATCAACTTCCTATAACTGGCAAAAAGTAACACATTTCAGCAAAAATAGCTAACTGCTCGACTATAAGCAAACGAAGAAGACTCGTTGTATCTTTCAGCTTCTGTTAACAGCTGTGACAACATTGATGCTGAGGCTTCCTGGGCCTTCTTGGGCTCCAGCCCCTTCTCTGCCTTCTTCTTCTTCATCATCCGTGCGCGGAAAACCAAGAGAGCGACAGCAATGATCAGGAGCACCACCATAGCGCTACCGACAACGGAAAATAGCACTATGTGACTGCTTTTCTGAGGTCGAACCACTTCAGCGACGGTACCAGCTTGTTGCTTGCTCACATCGCCGCCCATGTTGGGAAAAGCTCGCTCAACGACCTCCACGTACTCCTTGTTCAGATGATCGTGCACGAACTCATTCATTACATTCTCAAACGCCTGACATTTATCTTCACGTGAACATAGCAAAACCTCGCGGCAGATTGTGGGTAGCTGGTCGACCCAGCGCGGCACCACTGCGGTCTCGTTGTCGTGGTATGAAGTCAAGTCATACCAGAAGTTGCCAGCCTGATTGGTGAAGCGCCTCACTGCAGCGATCACGGAAAGATACTCGCTCCAGCTTAACTCGTGTGGACAGAACGTGGTGCTGATTGGCGTGAAGGCCTGGCCCGCTGAATTCACAGAAGCATCACAGTCGGTGGCAAGCGTGTAAATGGGACCCACCTGCACCTCTCCCTTGTTACCATATGGACGGACAGTGTCATCGATGACCATGTGGTCTGCTGTGAATCCGTCGTAAGTAGTCTGGTTCTGACTGTTCGGTACTTGGAAGATGGCCTCCACCCTGCACCACGCAGATTTCTGTTCAGCTCCAGTGATTCCGCGGATGAAGTCACCTTCGGAAAGCTGTGAGACACTGACATTACCTTTGAACTTCTCCTCCACTCGCATTTTACCGGAGATACAGCCATTGATTTGAACACAATTTGAACATGAATTTCCACCTTCGTGGGCGGCAGAGTTGTTTAGAAGGTGGATCAAGGTGATAAAAAACAACAGACTTTGCATGCTGGAGCCAAAGAGTCAGCTTTAAATGAAATGAAAACAAAAAAAAACAGAAAAAAAAAAACAGAAACCGTGAGAACAGGGAAGACTCCTGTTTTACTGGTCTTTTGAAAAGTGGAATAATATAATCTGTTTCTCTTAGTCCACCCTGTCAGAAAGTGAGCACAGTAGGTAATTGTTTGTATGGGCAGATGGGGCTCTTGCATGAAGTAAAAGATCAGTGAAAGTCTTTAAACTCACACGCGTTACGAGTTTCAAGGGATGTTATTAAATCTGGTAACG